TAGTTCAATAAAATTTTGAATACGAGTCAACAAATGAGATGACATGGCCTTTCACCTGTGACCTGTCTCAAAAGGGTTAATGTCCATTTTTATAACTTCTTGTCAATATGCAATATTTGTATGTATCTTCACAGTTAGCTTAAGGATGGTGTTACCTAATCTTTATTTATATACATTTCCTTCATTTCAGTTTAGGAAATCTAGCTTCTTAGACAAATAACTTTTCATTTTGAAAGCTAAATTTTTATAATTAGAATAGAACTCAAATAATTACCTTTAATGCACCCATTTCTTTCTTATAACTGTTAGAATGTGTACAGAATATCTGATGAATTCAGTAGAAAGATTGTACTGCACATATTAATATGTGCTGAAGAAGCATCTGTGAATTTGTGTAATTCATGTCCAAGATATATCACGATATGATAGAAAGTATGAGACAAGTTCATAACATAACATGAAAGGATCTTATGGTCCATCTAAGCTGTCCTATCCACTAAATTAAACTAAATCCTTTATAAAAAAGAAAACACACAAACTCAAAGCTTATCCTTACCATTCAAATATTTATCAAGCTTTCCTTAAACTCCTTTAAATTAACTGCATCCACCACATCCAATGGCAACCTATTTCAGAGGCCGACCACCCTGTTAGAAGAATAAAGCTGTCTTAACTGAAGATGATTTCTATCCTGCCAAAATTTATACTTGTGTCCCTTAGTCCTACCATTCTCACCATTATATATATGACAAAAGATGAGGCATCAACACTGTCAATTCCATGAACAATTTTAAACACCTCAATTAGATCCCCCGTAACTCTTCTTTTCTCATTAGAAAACAAGTTCAAAGATCTTAACTTGTCCTTGTATGACAGCCTTTCTATCCTAGGTTTCATCCTAGTAGCCCTCCTCTGAAACCTTTCCAACAAGTCAATGTCTTTTCTGAGGTAAGGAGCCCAAGAATGAATACAATACTACAAATTTGGCCTAACCAGTAATCTCTACAATAATATTATAGTCTCTTTAGGTACAACCTAAAATCCTATTTGCCTGTACTAACAACAGCACATTGTTTGAATGGCTTAAGATACTAATCAACTAGAACACCAAGATCTTCCATAATAATGCTAAAGTTATTCCCATCAAAAGTATACTCATAATTCAAATTGTGATATCCCACATGCATTACCTTGCATTTATTATAATTGAAAACTAATTAAATATGAAAATAATGACATTTTATCCATCCAGAGGTAAGATTATTATTCTTTATAAGTCTCAGAATATTTTTTTAAACCAATAACTTTGTTTATTTGTATATTTTTACATTCCCATATTAATGTTTAAATATTGTTTAGTGTTCTTTTATTACTGTTGCAGGTTTTTTTTTCATTTTTGTATACAGCTGTTTTGATTAATACGACTTTCCTGATAATAATGTGTCTATCCTGAAACCAACAAACAAATTCTAATTTTATATTAGCTATCATTCCTATCTTTAGGAAAATTGAATTTTCTAATTTTCTGTGTTAAGCATTTGAAAACTTTCCTGATAATAATGTGTCTATCCTGAAACCAACAAACAAATTCTAATTTTATATTAGCTATCATTCCTATCTTTAGGAAAATTGAATTTTCTAATTTTCTGTGTTAAGCATTTGAAAACAATTTCCAGTTAGCACAAATTGCATATAGTTTTGCAAATCTAATACCAAGACTTTAAAACCTTGATTTTGGTAATCATGCATTACAATAGTATTTTAGATTTATTTTTGAATAAATTATGAAATCATTAATATTCTTTTAAGTCCAAAAATATTTTATATTTTAGAAGAAAAAAATTCTTTACTTAAAACGTTGTAAAGTATGAATGTATGCTGTTGTTATAATTGCTGTAAATATGGTTTAAATCTTTTTTATATACATAGAACAGAATTCTATACAAAATGAAATAAGTTAGGTTTGAAATTTTAGTGAAAAAAAACAATTTTGTTGGGTCTTGACCTTAATGTTTGAAGGCACAAGCAAAATTGGGACTGCTACTAGCAGCAACATTATTCTTCTCTAAAATTAACTGTGTATTATAACAATTATTTCACATATTAAACATTAATGAATAGGTATTTGTCCTATTTATATGTTTAAATCTTTTTTTTTCATGTTTCTTTTCATATATTTTCTAGTTTCAAAATTTATCTTAATTACGTGTAACTGTTTATATTTTTAACTATTTCACAAAAGCTAAAAAATGCTTGGGTGGAGACTGATGAATCTAGTCTTCTAGCACCTGGATCATTAAAGTCTACGGTAACTCACTTCTGACGACCACCATACATTAAAAAATAATATATTTTATTAAATATTACCATTTAAGCACCAAAAGCTGGTGAACCATCAGAAACCAATAGGCTTAACATTTGTATTAGTCATGGTCATTAAGAGGAATGTAGAAAAAATAAAACATCTTCAATTTAGATAATTTCTATTTCATTATTACCTCGAATGAACAACCACTTGGTCACAGTATTTCTCGCCTTGCTGCAGTAAAACTACACTACAGAAGTTGGATTATATGTACTGTATTGGCAACCATCCAAATGAATTGAAGCTGTGGGCATGCTATACCCATCTGATGATTCTTATCCTGGGCATGTCATGCAGCTTCAGTTGGGATTGCAAAACCCACCATGACACTGGAAAGTGAACCAATCTTTTTATCATAATTATTGTAAGCTTCTCTACTCAGAATATTGTAATATAAGTGAATGAAATGCATGTATCATGAATGTATTGCTACTCGACAGTAAGAATCTGTGAATCTTCCTTCTGAAATGTGTACTAGCAATGTTTTTCAGTGCCTTCTAAGTTATACTACCAAGACTAACCAGTGGTTTACTAGCATTCATTTCAGACACTGTATGTTACTTTTGAAGCAGTCTTTAACTCACCCTATAACACAGCTATATAGAAGAAGTTCATAATGTTTTTGTTGAGGAACAAATTTTGTTAGTGATCCAAATATGGTGCTGATTTTGACATTATTTAAGAATGTGATACATTACAGGATTTACTTAACATTATATTTCAGGTATGAGCAAGAGTGATCCTCTTTTTACTCAGAAGAGTCAGCTGTGCAAACAGTTAGGTCTCCCAGTGTGAGTAATTTCCTACTATTTCCTAGAATATGAATGTGATATGTGTTTAGAAAATTTAAGAAATATGTTTTGCATTACATAATACTATTTGGTATTCCAATACTATTTTATTTAATAATCACTATGTTAATTTTCTAAACTTTATAGTGTTAAGAGGATTAAGTTAAAGTTTCTTTTTCCAACATATATTTTCAAATATGTTTGACATATTCTACCAAAATAGAAACTAAGTATGGTTCGTTACTGAGTGATTCCATTTTTTTTTAATCATAGCCTGGGCTTTATTATTAACAGTTGTCACTTCTGTTGGTATAAATATGGTTGAATAGTTGCCATTCCTCTTGCAAAGCAGTTCCAACTAGAGCAAGATTTCTAGATCTGTCCATGGTGTTCCAAATATCTTGGACAGGTTAAACTTGTTTTGGTTTGGGGTTCTGTGCTGGCCAAGACAATTGTAGATGATTCTTCTATTTTTTTTCCTCCAGAAATCACTGCTGGATAACTGGGTATGACAAGAGATTGGTAATCATGCTGAAAGAGGTAATTGTGTATGGTTGATATGATCAGCAGATATGCAAAGTATTCTTCAGGTCATCAAATCATGATCTGCCCATCTGAAGAAAACAGTAAGCAGAAGGATTTATCTCTCCATGTGGTGATTTCTACTGTTCTTCATCCTAATTCAGATGTTCAAAGCACCATCAGGCTCATTATCTTGCATTCATGGCTGTAATGTATGGCTTATGGGCTGAAATCAATTCATGGAATCCAACAGCATTGAGCTCTCTGCACACTGTGAATGTGCTGGCCAGTCAGTTCTTGAGATCCTAAATCTGCAGTTCTTTTCACAACATGTTTTAAGGTTCACAAGGTCCAGGAGTTATTAATTTTGGGTTTCAGGTTGATATTTTGCATTATCATGACTTTTAACCTTCCATTTATTCAGAAATTACCCATAGTGGATTTAAATGAGTAGATGAGTTAAGAGATCACAGACATTCATTAGCCAATAGTATTATTAACAGAAAGTTAGATCTGTGTCTATGATTTATGTCCTGTTACTGGCAAAAATAAATAATAACTGTGTTATAAGAATGACAGTCAAATCTCATTATTCAGTCTAACAAGAGTAGCCAAAGGGTTGGCAGTGGATGGTGTGTCTAGCTGCTTTCTCTCTCACACTTCAAAATTAGAGACAGCACAGATAGCCCTCTGTAGCTTTGTGTGAAGTCCAACAAACAATGATTCTAAAAACAGGTTTAAGTACAAATCTTACATTTACTTATGGGTATACTCTGACTAAGATAGCTGTATTTTGAGCATAAAAAATGTTCTATGTGTAATAAAGCTACAACTAAAGCTGCTTTTTTGACTATGAACTATGAAAAGTGAGAGGTTGCAAGACTATTCAAGATATTATTTACTTTTAACCGATGGCATTATTTCATAAAGTTCATTAAGTTTTAACACATTCATAATTTTAATTAGTTGTTTGTGTAACAAATGAAACTTCTTCCATTTTATGAGCCTAAATAACATAAATCCTAATCAAATTTGTTTAAATATATTTATATAAATTCTCATTGTGTACAAATTTGGAAAATTCTTATTTAGAATAAACATTCACTGTAAAGCCTAATTATACACCAGTGTATACAAGAAAGGTAATCCTTGAATTGTTGTTCATGTTTCACTATGAATTCAATTTTTAGATGTTTATTATTCTAATAATGTAAACAATAGTTTGTTCTTTTAAGAGATTAGTGACAAGTTGCTGTCAACATAACTTCTTTGATGAAATAATTCAAAGTGTTCGGTGTGTTCTTTGATTCATTTTGTTGGTTTTAGTATCTTAGAGATGCAGTTGTGAATAAGCCTTCTTTATAGAGAATGTTGTAGCTTTACTGGTGCTGAAATGATATAGACTTTTACTAATTTTTGGTGCACTCTCAATTTTTGCAACCTATTGAATATCTCTTGAGCTAGATCCTTTCATAGTAAAGATATGTTAAGTTTACTGCATAGGCAACAAATATATCAGAACTAAAAATCACCAAGTCTCTATATTTGTATTTTAAGAGGACGGTGTCAGATCGTACAGGTCACAACAAAGATGCATGTGCAGAATTTTAAAAAATTCCATGTGAAATTTCCCTGCATAATTGCATCTTGTACATAAATATTACAAGTCATAAAAACAAAAAACAGATTGAAATAAATATTGAAACAAAATATGGAAAAATGAGAATATATAGGATAGAAAAGCATTCATTTGAACCAGATGGTTGAAGGGTTCCCAGATTGTAGATTAATTTCCTTTCCACTTGTTCTCTTTTGTGTTTTGTGAATGTCTGTTGGAGCCCTAATAAGTCCCAGAATTGCAAATTCCTCAACTGTATGGTTGTTGATGGGGAAGTGTTTGCCTATAGGTGTATCTCAGTTCCACAGTTTAATATGGTTTAGATGTTCTCATGCTCAATCACCAAGTTGGCATTCTGTTTGTCCAATGTATAATGTGTTGCATTTTGTTGCAAATTATTCCTGTCATAGTGAAAGCCATAGAATATAATAGTATTTATGATAAACGAAGGAGTATCATATACATGTAGGCAGAGGAGAATAATTTTTATAAAAACAATGGCTACAGGGAAAAAAAAACTTGTATCTTTAATAAGTAATAAGTCACTTTTACTCTCATTTCTGATAATTTATTAGAACTGGAAAATACCACCTTCATACTGGGCATCAGCCAGTGGAAAACCGTCTTTTAGCCTACTTACGAGTTCAAGTCATTAAGGATGGTATGTTTTTATCTACCTGACGTAATTAAAAGGCTTAGCTGAGTTTACCATTTCAAAGTCATTTCCTAAACTGATTTACTTTAAAACGATGAAAGTTTAGTCTGTCATTTGTTGTAATGTTGGTTATTACTCAAAGTATTTTTATTATAATGTAATGCTTGCATATGAGTAATAACCTATTAAGTACACTGTCATAAGTTGCAAAAACTTCAGACATTAGTGCTGTGAATCTTGGTTATTTTGTCAGTATTTTGCACAAAATTATGTATCAATTATGCATAACACTTGCTTATTTTAACTGCTGCTAGATGACATACTGAAGATCAATGAAGAGCAGAATGTTGACTGGCTCCTAAATGAAGATATACACAGTACAGATCACCTAACCCAGGACGCTCTTGTGTTTCTTAAAACAAGAATTACCTTATTACTTAGAGCATATCCTACTACATTAGAGGTAAGTGTGTCGCCACTAAAAGTTATGCTAAAATGCTCTTTTTCTATCACGCCTAGGAAAGAAGAGAGAGAAAAAAAGAATAAACAGGCAGTTATCTTTATTGACATTTATTTAGATAACAGAAATATTACCTTAGCTTCTTGAGCAGGCATTTGTTGTTGTGTCTTAGTAATATGCTAATGAGCATACACCAAAATGACTTAGGAATTTTTATACCTTAATCCATTTCTCCATAAAGAGAAATAATGTGCAGAAATCTCTTGTACTATTCCACTGTCACTTTGAACACATCATCTGCATTGTAAACAATGTTACTAATGTCATAATCACTATTATAATTTTGCTAGAACGTACTGTAGAATTGACTGTTAATTTTTAATTGGTAGATCAGCAGTTGAGGGAGACTAAAAGAAAGACGTTTATTTAAAATGTGGGGCAAAAATACATAAATTTCCAAGTATTTTTTATCTGCATTTCTGTATGCCCACTTAATTGTGTTTGTGTTTTATATTTGAATATTTAATCAGTTTTTTTACAAAAACAAAACAAGGGCTAATGTTTTAATTACAGGAGAGGGCAACTTGTATCATAATCAAGAGTTAGTTACTTTTAATAATGGAATTAAAGGTGTAACTATCCTTATAGTATAATTTATTAGTAAAATGTGTAAAAATCCATTAAAAAGTGTTAGTCAAATATTTAGTCTTCAGGTATTGAATAAAACGAGTCTGTAGAAATGCCATTTATGGTTTTTACACTACTCAGAACAGTTCAGGATAATTGAAGTTTTTTCTAGCTATTTAAAGACACGCCTACTGTTATTGGATAATGTCAGTGGTATCCCAGAATTAATACTAAAGTGAGTTGTACATTGATGTAGCATGTTCAAAGTGAGTGAGTTGCTGAACTGCTTAGTGGGGTGATACGTTCCACTTGTCTGTCAAAGTTGATTGAAGTCCATCACTGCTTGAAGGTGAATCGCTGCCATGCATATTCCCAGTGTTTTCCACACATATTCAGTTGGATTTAAATATGGAGATTGTTCTAGCTAGTTGGTTTGCTCGATGCTTTCTTCTCTCAGAAAGTTATTGTTAATCAGTTGAATGTGGTAGAGGTTGAGTTATCATCCATTAGAGAAAAATTCTTCTTTGACCAACTGGGCCTGCATATACATCAACAGTGCATCCCAATATTGTATGGCATCCATAATATCATGTCATAGCATATAAAGGTCAGTCTAGCTACCAGTACTTGTCTGCTCAGAATTATGTGCTACATATGCAACATGTATGCCTTTCCTTCAGGAAATTTTATTTCTGTGTGGTTCTTCAAATACATAAGAGTCTCATGTATGACAGCTCTGTAGATGGGCTGTTTTGTGATGACATATTAGAGAAACAAATCTTAGTTTGTCTGCATAAAGGCCAACCTCATCAAGCCTGTTTCTGGCCATTGCATGCTGGCTTGTCATTCGGACTGTTGATTCAGTTGGGAAGATGAAGCCTGCAGGTACATTAAGGTTTCTAGTCAACTGCATTGGTGTACTTAAACAGGCTCACATTTTGCTAGCAAAACTTTGGGGTGACTTACTGTGTTTGGTTGACTTCTAGCCATCTTGTTGCTCTTCTTAACCTGAAAATGTCCATATATCTTCATTGGGGTTTTGTTGCATACATTGGAGAAATGGGAAGAAGACTCACGACAAGAATAAAGGAACATAAAGACAGCACAAGACTCATGAAAACACAAAATTCAGCCATTGCAGAACATGCCATGTCAACTGGACACGACATAAACTGGGAAAAAGCTAGAATCATTGACACAGACAAGTTTTGGAAGACAAGAAAAATTAAAGAATCGTTTACATTATCACAATAAAACCTTTACTAAACAGAGATTCAAGATTAGAGGTGAGTAAAATGTGGTTACCATTGGTTGATGCTACAGGAAGTCTCTCCTCCAATCAGAAACGTGTTTTAACCAACCAATCATAACATGCTTTCCACAATCCAATAGAACTCTATAAAGACCAAACTACACCACACACAAACACACACACACTGACCTGAAGACGAAAAGTGGAAGACT